GAATCTCAGGTATTAGGCATTCTGGGAAGCCTGTACCTCTCAAGTACCTCAGCCCATGGGGAAAGAGAGAAGGGACATGTGGCTGGAAAATTAAGGTAAAAAGGAGGCTGCGCCCTCCAAAAATTTTAGAGACCTCAGGGGAATGCCCCATGGTCTCTCCCTTTATTCAAATAAAATAAAAGGACTCCTCTGTCTCCTTTTTGGACATAAACCTCTGGTGTTTGTGGATTAATTTTCCTGACAATTTTTTCTGAGCTGTTGTCTTGGGTTGCAATGCAAGATGAAACCAAAGGTATTCTATTACCCTCTGTTAAAACCAGATGTGGCAGTGTTCTTTATCTCTTCCAGGACCCATCCTCCCTCCAGGGGCATATCTTCTGTTACTGGGCCATTGAGTCCACTGCATGACTGATAAAATTACGTCATCCCATTGTGAGATGCGTCACCCAGGGCAGTGGAGCCAAGCATTCCTACTTGGATAAAATCAGACTCAGAACAGCACAGGCAGCATTTCTCCACTGGATTCCCAGAGGAAAGACCAGCTCCATCTACACCACCAGATGTTCAGAGGAAAGGTACACCCTTCTATGGGATCATTGCTTCAACAGAAACACACATCTGTCACTCCAGGAGGACTGCAGCCACCATTTAATTGGACTGCAACCAACATCCTGACAAACAGGGTGTCAGGGTGTATTCTGACTGTCAGTGGGTTGTTTGGGTTTTTTCTTGTTGGTTTCTTTTTTTACTACTGCATTTTTATTTTAATTTTCCTAGTAAAGAACTGTTATTCTTATTCCCACATCTTTGCCTAAGAGTCCATTGATTTCAAGATTATAATAATTCAGAGGGGGATGGTTTACATTTTTCCATTTCAAGGGAGGTTTCTGCCTTCCTTAGTACACACCTGTATTTTCAAACCAAGACAGCAGTATGCAAGTAGCATTTTTTAAAACAAATAATGTCCAAGCTTTGTCCTAGACAATGGATACTGCCCAAGACAAGGGACAAAGACTTGCAAGAATCACTTATATTCCCCAGGGTTTTATCCAGAAATACCCAAATGATCAGCTTAAGACAGTAAAAATTCAAAATACTGCCTGTCTGATGAATACTCAATGTCCCTTACGGGAATCATACTTTTTTTATGAAATAGCAGAGGAAGAAAAAGAAAACAGGCTGGAGAGAGCTAGAAAGCAGCCCTCTCACATACAGTCAAATTGCAAACCACTTTTATACCCTGAGGAAAAAGCCAGAAAAACTCTGAGTAGTAGGGAAGGAAAAAAAAAAAAAAGGAAAAAAAAAAGGTATTTCAGTTCATGCAGTTTGGCTTCTGGAAAAAAATGAAAGGAAAACAACAGGCAGTATTCTGGAGATTGTGAGGGCAGTGCTACAGCAATAGCTACTACTTGGGACCAGTCTATACAGCAGGAATTGACAATTGACATATACCAGTTTCATATCACACTACAGTTTTCTCATGTTAATAGAGATGCAGTTAAGCAAAAAAGACTGAGCAGCTTAAGTCAGGTCATATTGTAAACTTCCATCTGCTGATACAGACCCCCCCCCATATTTTACACTGTATCCATTTCATACTTAATTTCTGGTATTGGCTAACTGAATACCTCATTACAGAAAAAAAAGAACTCACTCTGCTGAACAGCACAGCTACACCTGTATCTGTAAATCCAAGAGCTCTCAGTGATATTCCCAGATACTGTCAACTTCTCTAATAGTAAGCTCTCAAAGCATTTCTTTGGCCTGTTCTTGGACAACCCCAAGCTCTGTGTGGCAGCTGGAGCGTTTAAGGGAATGCTCTCATCTTGTGAAGTTTAAGACAGCAGAATGCTGACGGCTCTTATCCCAGTGTCTAGGTGTTTCATTTATTTATACAGAATCATACAACAATTTTTAGTTCCATCAAAATTAAATAGTATCTCTGAAGAAAAGTTTTTCAGAGGTACAAGACTCATGACGTGGTGTTCTTTCACAGTTCTTTAAGTGTGATAGCGAAGGCATTAAACCATTCATAATTTCTTTTAGGGTTTTTGTGCACGAGATTTCATTTGCAATAATTTTATTTTACTATCTGCAGTGATGGTATTGTGTTTTGAACTGGCATATCAGACAGAAAAAAAATCCACATTATTTAAATAAAATTGTGGTAATGAAAAACCTTATTACTAAAGTTGTTAAGATGAAATATTAGGTAGTTTCTTATGTTAAAAAGGTACAATTGTTCAATAAACTTGTCTTGGTTTGGAAGACAGGTGTCTGCTAGGGAAGGCAGGAGCTTCCCTTGGAATGAAAAACGTAAATCCTCTCCCTCCGAATTAGTATAATTTTGAAATTAAGGGGCTCTCAGGCAAAGATATGGGGATAGGAATAACAGTTCTTTGCTAGTATGTATAATAAAGCAAACAAACAACAACTCTGGCATTAACACCAAACAGAAGAGGAACCCAGTGACCCTTCTCGGCCGCAGGTGCTTTCCCCGTTGGTGCAGTTCCGGGCATGGCCAGCAGGGGCGCTGCTGCTCCCGGGGGACAGGAGGTGCGTTGATTCCCCCGTGGCTGCAGGGGTCGCTGTGGCGAGGGCGTGAGGAGCACGCAGTAATGGTGGCTTTGTCCCAGACAGGAAGGGGTGGGAGAGAGACTTTGCTTCACAGACACCCCTGGGACAGTCAATCCCGGTGTTCCAGCAGGACTTATGGAAACAGCAAGCTGGGCTGGCAGGAATGAGCAAAAATCCCAGGGTGGCAGCAAGATATATCAGAAGTTCCAGAGCTGTGGCTGGAACCACGGGAAGTCTCAGCAGGCAGGAGGTGCAGGGCCACAGTGCAGCGAAAGCTTGGAGCAGCGCCAAAGAGCAATGGGGACAGAATAGTGGCAGCCCAGCTCCCAGCAGGGCAGAGAGGGGTGAGCCCAAGATCCAGGCACCCGATCAGACAAGGATAGGTCCCTCGTTTAATGAGGTAGATGTTAATAAGGTCTCAGTACAATGCTGCTCGTATGAGCAAAGGCTCACCCACAGAAAGGATGAGGCAGTACAGGACTGGGCTCTGGTGGTGAATTCTCTTTGCCCTAACCAGCAAGTTGCCTGTCCTCCTTGAAACCCAAAGCGAGAGCTCCCCTGCAGCTCCCCTACCCCTATCGTTTTGCCTGTCCAAATCTCCAGGTATCCTCTCCCCTCTCCCCTGAGTTTGGCCACTCTTGTTTTTCTTAAGTACCCATAATTTCCCAATAGTCAGTTTCTCAGCTACTTATGGGAAAACATTCCGTAAGTACAAAAGAAACACAACCCCCAACAAAACCCCACGGTGCAGCCTGGCAATAGGTCCCTCTCCACATCTGTTTTGGATAGTTACCTTATGGATATCCTGCTTTGGAATTCCACGCAGTGTGCAGTAATAATAAAGATGCTCCCAGCCTGTTAAAAGTTCATCCAGAGCATCTTGCTGTGGACAATATCCAATAATACTTTCAGAGCTAGCTGAGAGTATATCAATTTCAGACCTGTTTAAAGAAAAAGAAAAATACTTGAATGTTGCTTAACACATCCCATGGCCCTGGGTTCCACCCCTGGGATACAAGACAAACATGCATAACCTCAAGTCTGCAGATAAAGGAGTTTGAGTCTCTTTGCCGTGTTTACTTAGAGCAGCATCACCCACAAACAATGCACGTTTTTTGTCCCTTTTGGATTAGCACAGCCTACCAGCATGTCACTGTTGTGACAGTGTGTGTGTCAAGGTCAACAGACCAACACATGAAGAAGAGATGTTCATGAGAATTAATGCTTACCAGTTTTATGTCTCTTATGTTTTTGGTAGTACCTGCTCTAAGGAGATAAATTTCAAACCACATGGTGCTCATATTGGATATTATACTATATACAATATTATATTTGTATTGATAACATTGAATATTGAAGAGGAAGGACTTGAGAGAGAGGGAAATGTTGCTGTGTATTCTTTGTCCGTCTATAACCACACATACGCATGCATGCATTCTCTAAACAACAAGTGTAAAACAAAACACAGAATATTAAAGCCTAGTAACTTAAAAGACAATACTGGAAAAAGGATCAAATTATCCTGATTTAAGAGAATTTGGCCTTCACTTTGTAGCTTTAGAGCATTACTTGAAATTATGTTCATTGCTAAGAAGCAAGCTTGATTGCAAGAGTGTCTCATTACCCATAATGACACTAAATCTATCCTATTTATTCCAACATCTAATTCAACACTCAATGATGCTGATTTACATGCATGGAAAGACATGTCAAAATGAAGATACTTAATAAAATTCTAAGCTTTGAAAGAAAAAAGTTTTCAAAAGATTCTGAGTAACAGAATGTTTTTCCTCTTAGTAGTTTTCTATATTGCTGATTAAAAGAATTAAATATATGACTAATCATTTAGACACAAAGTAAATGCATTAATTGCAGGATCTACAAATACCAGCACTAGTGAAATTATAAATATGTATCTCCTATCAACAAGATTCACGAGTTTGGGGAGAAAAAATTCTGCATTTTACATAATGAACCACAGCATGAAAATATATTTTAATGCCATCAAAAGATTAATTAACATGATTATGACAAACATTGCCATGGACTAATTAGAATGGTACTTTGCTGTTAATGGCAAAGATAAAAGATTATGGTATCTTGGTTGTTTTGGATGGCACTATGTAAGTTATCTGCCTGTAGACCAGACACTTCTCTAAACAAAGTGTTTGCAAAAAGCAGCGAGTGATAGAGGAAAGAGGATAACAGAAGTGTTCTTCCTTAATTTATATCCATTTATAAGATATTTTCAGTGCAGAATTTTTACTGTCTCAGTTTCCAACCATACCTATGGCAAAATAAATCCTTCTTCTATAGTCATCTTTACCATAAGATATGGATTGAATAATGGTGGTCTTTTTGTATAACCAGTCAGTAGCAATGGATTCCTTATTTAATTAATGTAGCAAAATACTATTCATGGTGAAATGTTATCTAGATGCTGTTGAACATAGAGATGTGTCTGAGGTTTGTTTTGCTAGGAAGATTGCACAAGGTTTTCTTTTGGTGCAGCTGCTGTCTTTAGAGAAACAAGAAACTGGGCTTTTGGTAATATGCCAAGTTCAGTCAGAAGAGAACAAATAGCAGTCAGGGGTAATTTCAGGTACATTTACTCAGCATGAACTCTGTAGCTGGATAGAAATATCTTGCCTACAATGGGCCCCTACCATGAAGAACAAAATGTGGACAGCTGCAAAAAAACCCCAGACATCTTAATGTTCTTTAGCTAGAATTATATTAGAGCATCCTTACACAGTTTGCATCAGGAAATAAAAAGTGTCCTCAGTGCTAATTGTACACACAGGGCTCTAGTGCTCTGCCTATGTAAAGCACTCAGTCTAAGGTGAACAGTATCCCACTCTCCTGGTTTAGGGCAGATCTGGGAGAGATCTTCTTAATGGTGTCCCTCCACAAAGCAAATTTAAGCGGCTCCTCCCCCAACTGGTTCGGGAAAAAGATTTCTTTGGAGAAAAGTGGAAAAAACCCTGTTTATTTAAAAATAAAACCTCACCATTTGATGAGATGGAAAATCTAGAAAAGTCTTTTTCATGTGGTGTAGCTCAGCTTGCTCAGTTTCTTATCAATCCCTCTGGCTCTGGGAAGTGCCAAGGCCCAGGCCCAGTGGGGCACAGGAGTGAACTCCTGGGGTTTGTCTGGGTTTTCAGTCCAGAGTAGGTTTGAACAGATCCGGGAAAAAGGAAAAAAATAGTCCGGGGAACTTCTCTGCCTCAGATAACTAAAAACTAACTAAAAGTAAAGGAGAGCTCTGTCCTGCCATCTATCCATGATGCAGACAACACAGTCCAGGAGCAGGATGCGGGGGAGTGAGGGCTCTTTTTGAACACAAACTGCAGCTTCTTCTTACCCCGCTTCGCTCTCAGAGCCAGTCTTAAAGGTGCAGAACTTAATATGTAACATAAACAAGGTTGCTGGGGATACAAGTTTCATAAAGTCACCTCACAATACCCACCCACTGACCTTTAGCTTTCATAAAGTGAGGGCAAAGTGAGAATGCATAATTTAATATTCTTAGTCAGTTTGGTCCCTTCTTTTGCAACTCTGTCAGTTATTGCTGACCATGAACCCTTCAAGACTTCCCATTAACACAGAGATTATACTGTATTCACTAAAGAACTCATTTCCACCTCACTCCTCTCCCTCCTCTCTGTATCTGTCAAATCAAAAACAATCCAAACAAAAGACAAAAAAAAAAAAAAAAAGCCATATTAGAATTCTTTTGTTGTTTTTTTTAATGTGCAGTGTAATGCCTGTTCCTTCATCAACATCACAGAGTAGATTTTCAAATCAAAATTCTGGACATTATAATTCAATTTTGTTTAGCCAGGTCCTAAGCTTTTTCTGAAGTAATAAACAGTGTAAATAAACAATACATGAAAGAAAATCACATTATAATTTTTATTATAGTAAGTATGGTACAACAGAAAAAAAGCTCCCATCTTAGGAAATTGTCCTTGAAATTCCGTTAATTTCTCATATTTCATTTTTATGGATCTAAACTAGATGATCATTTCAAGTAGTGATGGCATGATACCAGAAAATATTCTTAGTAAATAATATACTGTAAATATTCTTTCCTTTTCTTTTTTTAGTTTCTGATTCAATTCATTAAACTAATTTTAATTCTCTTCTTCCTTAACAAACATCATCATATATGCCATTATCAGAATGAAATTTGAAATATATTTTTTAATATTTTCTGAAACATAGATTAGCATGCAGAAAAACGGTGATTATTTTTTTCTCAAGCTACAGAAAAACAGCCGTTTGTTTTCTGCCCTATTATTATCTGGATGCCAGAATTTTTTACTAGACTATTCACATTAAAAACAAGACATACCAGAGGGAAAAATCAGCTCATTTTATAAATAGAGAGAAAGAACATGTAAATATGGATTCCAACCCCTCTCAGGGCTTTTGTCCATAGTACAGTAGACACAATGAAATCTAGTGTAATATCTAAAAATTATATGGAGGAAAACAGGCTTTTACACTAATACTCAAATTTCTGTATCTTTATAATAACACAGTGTACTTGTTATCTTTGAATTCCTTTAGTAATTTTAATTACATCATCTGATCAAGTTAAGATAAAGAACATGTTTTGTCCTTCACTTTTAGACTACATTCTTATGCTCAGTCAATACTTCCCCTCATTAGTTAAGTTTTACTTTAAAGTGAACAGCTGCAACAAATGATATCACCAGAATAGTTCTAGAAATATTTCTATTTTAAATGCAGTTTTAAAGTTGCAGAATTGCATTTCTGGAACTCCTTTAGAAATGGTCAACAGAACATCTGGCATCCTCAAGAAAAATAGGGAAGTCTAGTACTTGAAGCATGGAAGATTTTGTGTTCCATCCCAGTCTGAGTACTTCAGTGAGAATCATGATATTTTGGTGCAAGACATCCTGAAAAAACATCCAGGATTCAATAAGACTTTCTTCGCTGTGGAGTCCTCATCTCATAGTTTTGTACTATTGAAGAAAGAAACTTGCCAGACTTTCAAGATACTAGGATCATAAACTAATAGCAAAGTATAGAAAAATTTTGATTGAAAGTTGTTCCTCCACTGACCATTTCAAGGCTTTTTACATTAATCTATTTATTCTGAGTGCTTAAAGAAAGCTCTACAATCTGATTTCAGGTCATATGGGGGTGGCATGGGGTACTCTGGTCAGAAAGCATTTGATGACATTGAAAAGAAACATAACCACTGGGATGAGTGAATATCATCTTGGACAAACCTATTTCCTTCTCCTGTATAAACTGGACCTGAAGTTTCCAGAAGGCCAGAGTGGCTATTGCAGAACTAGATTTAGATCTTGTTTTTCACAATGCTTACCACCAACACTGCTTATAGGTGGTTGTGGGCTGGCATTCAAAGGTAAACCTCAGTGTTGGGTTTCCAGAGACAGCTTTTTACCCCCCATATCAGTCTTATGGCTGGTTTTGGAAAAATTGTTTCACTTTTGGCTCCACTGTGTACTCTGTTTCAGTTTCATATGCCTTTTCTGCAGTTTTTGAATACAATTAAATGCAGTGATATTTATCATATTTTATATATATATATATATATATATATATATATATATATATTTGCTTCTGCAGAGAGAGAAATTCCATTAATTAGTCAAAATTAAATATAAATTTACAAATTGCAAAAGTACTTTTCATTGTACTCGTAACTGCATTAGTGCAAACTAATGCTCAGTTAACATTAAAAATAATCAAGGTTAAAATTTCAGCCATTATATTGATGTAAATTTATTATTTATTATTTCTTTCAATTAAGCTATTTGAACTACATTTTTAATTATTTATCAAGCTGAATATCATACCTATTAAAAGAGTTGAATTTCTAGCTATAAAGAAATATTTTACTTTTCCCTCTCTGTAGAGATTTTTTTTGGTCCTATGGCTT